TTGCTCGGCCTGGGGTGTCCGCGGGCCGGGTCTGGCGCGGGGCCCCAGCGCGCCGCCCACGGGCCTTTGGGCCTCTGGAGAGCCGCCAGGAAGGCTGCCGCTCCGCGCGGGTGTCGGGGCGAGAGGGTCTCCCCAGAGGCGCGCCTCCCCCAGCCCTCGGGGCTCCTGGGCGCCGTGTCTTAGCTGCCCCCAGAATTTTGCGGGAGGTGAAGCGCCTCGTCTCGTTCCTTCCTCGCCAGAGCCTTGTAGGGCGCGAAGGGCCATCGCCACTGTACGGAGGCAGATCCGCCGTGGGCCGTGCGCCTCCCCACTCTCCGCCAGCGCCCCGCTCTCAGTGACTTAAGTGGCAGGGAGTCAGGGCCGAGCCGGCTCTCCTCCGCGTGTGTCTCAAGTGGGCATCCCCCCACCATTTTGTGGCCCAGCTGCAGTCCCAGCCCTGGTGACGAGCCGCGTTCCCGTCAGTAAGTGGCTTTTGCCACCGGCAGAGATAGGGGTAAAAGGCCCTCACTTGAACAGGCTCTGGTCCAGCAGGACACCCAACAGGCAGGTGGACAAGCACGTGGACACTCATCGCGCCAGGCCCAGTCGCATGTTCCAGGTGCTGGCTTTGGCGAGGAGCAGACCTGGGCTCAATTCATCTGCAGCTTTGGGCCGTGTGCTGTTCCACACATTTTCGTTGGGCCTCAGTTACTCCTCTGTGAAGTGGGGGGACGCCTCTGTGTCAGTGTTAAAAGTATGGAGTGAGGTGTAAAATGCTTCCTGCCAATGCACCCTTACTGAGAGGTGCTGACAGTAACGATGCTGCAAACGGTTTTGGAGTTGAGGGCCCCTTGTCTCCCCAGCTCAGCGCTTCCAACTGGGTACCCAGGAGCTGTGGCTTTGGACCTGGCCTCCCATGGCTCCACGGCTCTGCTCAACCTCCTGACCCTCTGTCCCCAGGCAGCACCCAAGAAAACCTCATTTGGCTCGCTGAAGGATGAAGACCGGATCTTCACCAACCTGTATGGCCGCCATGACTGGAGGTGAGACGGTTCCGTTAGCCCGGTGGGTCCCAGGCAGGACCTCCCCTTCACTGCTTCTCCACTCTGTCCAGGCTGAAGGGTGCTCAGAGCCGAGGTGATTGGTACAAGACAAAGGAGATCCTGCTGAAGGGGCCAGACTGGATCCTGGGGGAAGTCAAGGCCTCTGGCCTGCGGGGTCGCGGAGGTGCTGGCTTCCCCACTGGGCTCAAGTGGAGCTTCATGAATAAGCCCTCTGATGGCAGGTGCGTGCGTGAGGCAGCGGTGCGAGGCGGACCCGGGGCTTACCTGGTGGGGCATTGCCTCGGAAAGTAGGAGTGAATGAAGTCGGGAAATGTTGGCAGGGCTTGAGCAGATGGGACTCGGTTCTCTCATTGCCTCAGGACACCGAGGTGCAACAGATTCACCACAAGGCTCTGAGTTGACTGATCAGCTCTAGCTCTACCTTCTGATCACAGAGCCGAGTGGTCTCCGGCCTCCTTGAAGCTCAGTTTTCCTTTTTATGAACAGATGTTGTGCAGGGACTAAAGAAATGTTTATGTGGCTTTCAGCCTGCACGCCTTGGTTGGCTAAATGTGGGCTACTTCCTCCTTTTGGCCCCAGCACTGCAAGGTCCAGGAAGGCTCTTTGTGACCAAGACCTCTCAGGAAGCACAGGAGAGGCATTTGGGCTGAGCAGGACAGAGCTTTGCTGTGGCCGCTGCTGCGGGAAGATGTAGCGGGCACTGAGCTCCGTCTCTGGGGACGCGCAGCAGGGCCTCGGAACATGCTGGGGGTGGAGAGGGACGGGCACTGAGAGGAGCCACCTTGTGGCTCCCCTGGGTGGGGTGGGGGTGACGGGCGTGCAGTCCCCGTCCTGTGGTCCCCTTGCCTGACTGACTGTGCCCCACAGGCCCAAGTATCTGGTGGTGAATGCAGATGAGGGGGAGCCAGGGACCTGCAAAGACCGGGAGATCATGCGCCACGATCCCCACAAGCTGGTGGAAGGCTGCCTGGTGGGGGGCCGGGCCATGGGCGCCCGCGCGGCCTATATCTACATCCGCGGGGAGTTCTACAACGAGGCCTCCAACCTGCAGGTGGGTGGGCGGGGGGCCCTCGCCGCGCGGCGCCTGTCCCGCCTGGGGTCCAGCCGCGTCAGGAACCGGCTTGACCTCCAAAGCCCCCCTCTCTGGGGTGTGTTCCAGAGCCTCAGCTTGCTGGCGTTGCGGGGCTCCACCCGGGGGCGGGAGGCGCAGCTGGGGGGCTCACACTCGCGCCCTCCCTACGGAAGGTCTCGGGTCCCTCGAGCGATTTCCGGGTGGGGGCGCCTGTGGGCTCCCGGGCCAGAGCCACTAGGCTCCCGCACCGCAGCAGGAGGGTTCGGGGCAGCCCTGCGTGGTGCGTGGTGCGAAGGGGCACCGCGGGCGCGTGCTGGCGCCTGAAGTGAGCCGCTCCCGCCGGCCTCCCTGCAGAGCAGGTCCCGCCTGCACACACACCACAGAGCCACCTGGAGAAACCACTTGCTAAACTATCCGTTGTTTTGGTAAAGTTTTTTAAGAAACACCTGTCATCGAGAACTCCCTAAACGTTACGAAGCCCGCGCGCACTAGAGCCATCATCCCGCCTCCCCAGGAGTGTTTGCTGTGCCCACAGGCAGCTTTCCCCCTGGCTTTGGTGATGGCTCGCGGGACTGGTCTCCCATCCTCACTGCCCGCCGCCTGCCAGCGCCCCTGGGCTCCCGGGCCCCGTGTCCTCACGTCCCCGCTCCGCAGGTGGCCATCCGAGAGGCCTACGAGGCCGGGCTGATTGGCAAGAACGCCTGCGGCTCCGGCTACGACTTTGACGTGTTTGTGGTGCGCGGGGCCGGGGCCTACATCTGCGGGGAGGAGACGGCGCTCATCGAGTCCATCGAGGGCAAGCAGGGCAAACCCCGCCTGAAGCCGCCTTTCCCCGCTGATGTAGGTGAGACTGGCCGCTCCGGTGGAGTTCGGGGGGACAGAGTGATGAGTAGGGAGAGGAGGAGTCTGTGTCCCGGACAGGACCCTAGGGCCGACCAACCCAAGCTGTCCCTGCCCCCTGGCAGCCGCCGGTCTCTGTGCCATTGCCCCCCAGGAGTGTTCGGCTGCCCCACAACAGTGGCCAATGTGGAGACCGTGTCCGTGTCCCCCACCATTTGCCGCCGTGGGGGTGCCTGGTTTGCCAGCTTTGGCCGTGAGCGTAACTCGGGCACCAAGCTGTTCAACATCTCTGGCCACGTCAACCACCCCTGCACGGTGGAGGAGGAGATGTCGGTGCCGCTGAAGGAGCTCATTGAGAAGCACGCCGGTGAGCCGGGCGGCCGGCGGGGCAGGGGGCCTGGCGTGGGGCCGTGGGGCGGGGGGGCATGTCCTGGGCTCGGGGCCCGGCGGGTCTGCGGGCCCTGATCATCTGTATTCTTTTGGGGCCTGACTGGGGCCCTAGGGGGTGTCACAGGCGGCTGGGATAACCTCCTTGCTGTGATCCCCGGCGGCTCATCCACCCCACTGATCCCCAAGTCCGTGTGTGAAACGGTGCTGATGGACTTCGACTCGCTGGTGCAGGCACAGACTGGCCTGGGCACAGCCGCGGTGATCGTCATGGACCGTTCGGTAAGGCCGACCCGCGTCCCCAGCTGCTCTGCGAACTTGGCCAGGTCTGGGGCGCAGGCTGCTCTGGGGAGCGCCTGGGAGGGGCCGGTGCCGAGACCCGGGCCTTGGGCTGCTCACTGCCTCTGTCACCTAGACGGATATCGTGAAAGCCATCGCCCGCCTCATTGAGTTCTACAAACACGAGAGCTGTGGCCAGTGCACCCCGTGCCGAGAGGGTGAGCACGGGGCGGCGCCGCTCCCCTGGGGTGGGCTCTGGGCTGCAGGCGAGGGCTGCTACCCTGGCCTGCGCTGACCCCTCGAGGCCCCACCCTCCCTGCGCCCTGCGCCCCTGCCCGCCCCCAGTCCTGGCAGGGGACCACCAGCCCCTCTCTCTGCCGTGGCTGCAGGTGTGGACTGGATGAACAAGGTGATGGCTCGCTTCGTGCGGGGGGACGCCCGGCCGGCCGAGATCGACTCCCTGTGGGAGATCAGCAAGCAGATAGAGGGC